AGCAGCTCTGTCCCTTAACTCCTTGCATTTCAGTCCATACTGTTTGCAGGGCACGTATTAAATGTGTGGATTTGGGGATGAAGTGCTGGGAAATTCCATTTAATCCAGGTTGGGTTTGTTTGGGGTGTTTTTCAGGTGACCTTAAACAATGTGGAAGTCTGCAGTGAAAACATCATGACTCTAAAGAAGACTTTGGAGGTGCAGTCTATATTCTTTACTGATTTTTCCTAAATCAAATTTGTAATATCCTCCCTTGGTGGGGGTGGGGTTCAAGTAAACCATCTGGACTTTGATATACCCGAGTTCCTGAGGTCTTTGCCCTCCAGCCTTAGGGAAGCAATTTTGAGCTGGCAGAGCAATTTCCGGCTGATAGCAGCAGCCAGAAATACTAGTTCCTCCAGCCTGACTAACCTGGTGCAGGAATAATACCTGTATCATGGAGAGTCTTCAGTTCTCTAGTGCTGGGCTAGACAGCCCCTGGCTTCTTTTCTTGCTGTCCTTTTTCCCCACAGCTGGAGCCAGCAGCCTCTGCCTTTGCAGCAGCAAGAGTTGGGCTCCTGTCCTAGACCACATGCTGGTGGGCAGCCAGAGCTCAGCAAAACAAAGGGATAAAAACTGTCCAGGTTATTAATTTGCAGCTTGCTCATGGTTCTCTTCCCTGCAGAGTGACTGCAGCAAACTGCTTAGCCAAGGATTCGGGGGTGAGCAAGCACAGGCCAAGATTGAGAGCTGCCTCTCAGACATGGCTGCTGTCTCCAACAAATTCCGTGACCTGCTGCAGGTGAGTGTCTCTCCAAATTACTGCTGGCTTCCAACACTGGCTGCTGGTGTCTTCAGGGACAACTCTGGCAGGAATGACTTCAGCCCAGGGCCAGGCGATGTCTAACTCCAGGAGTGCTGGGTAGGGTGCAGGAGGGAGCAAATCAGTCAGCTGTGAGGCATAGAAACAGCCCCGGCCCATTTACACAGCCACACCAGCTGGCAGCTGCATAAAAAGCACTGGAAGCAGCTGCAGAGCCAGAAGGAATGTTGCTTCATTTGTCTTCACTCAGCATGGACTTGCAGTTGGTTCAGCATTTTCCAGAGAAGAAATATTAATAGCATTTCCATCTCCTCCATTCTCCCTCGTGGCACAGCACATTGTCAAGTTGTCCACAGCCTCACTAAGTAATGCTGAAGACAGGCTGTTGGTAGAGAATAACTGCTCTTTTCTCAGGTTTCTCCTTTTCCAAATGTAAATACTCCTCAGCATGGAGCAGAAGACTCTCTGGCTAAATCCAGTCTCCTGTGGCATGCTGGGGCCTGCTGTCCTAAAATGTCTCAGTGGTCTCTAGCAGGGAGAGAAGCAGGAAGACCTAGTACCTCATGGAAAGAAACCAAGCAAAGGAGAATATTTGAACCAGGTTTGCCTTTGTACTTCACAGAGGGGTCAGGTTATTTTTTGTTTAGCTTTGCAGTTCAGGCCAGGCAGATGCCTTCAGTTCAGCACTGCCAGTAAACCCTCTTGGGGACTGTGGTCAGTATCAAAACCAAAGAGCTCATCAGTTAGGAGTAAAACTCTCCAGTCTGACTCTAGTGCGGTTTTAAAAGTGGCTGTAAAGCAATCCCGAGGCTGCGGAGGAAGCTCCTGTGCTGCCTGAGTCAACACACACATTGAATTTGCCTCAGAAAAGGACAATTGCCAGCAGGGCCTGCTTAGAAATGCCAGTTTTAGTTAAAATCTTTTATCAAATGCCACTCAGAATCGGTACCGACACAGTTTCATGCTGAGTGAGCTTTCGTGACACCTTGCTGAGCCAAAGAGGGGTGGCTGGCAGGAGAGGGCTTTAAGAGCTCTCATCACAGGGCACAGAACAGCCTTTGCTGACAGCCTGCTGCTCAGGGGAGATGGCATGTACTGGGGTTATGATTAATTCAGGGAACTAACTGTGGTTACAGCTTTTATCGTCCTTTTAGATTCTCCTACCAAGCTAAGCTGCAGTGAAGGTGGGAGGCATCAGTTGAGTTCAGTCACAGTGCCCTTCCTGGTGCAGAGTGAAAAAATGGAGTTTGCATTTTTTTTCTACCCCATGTGCCTCGATCCTGCCAGGAAATCTCCAGCAGTATGGGATGGGGTGAGGAAGCACAAGCCCTTCAGACCACATTACAAGTCAGCACAACAGCAGCTTCTGGGCCAACATCCTTCCTCCTCTTCTTAATATGGTGTCCTCAGAGCCTTCCAGCACAGGACGAGTGTGGGATCTGGGCCTTCTGGGTTCGGTTTCCTGTGCAAATCTGTCAGTTTTCCCAGCTGAGGATGGGAAGCAGCATCAAGACAGTCTGTTTGTAAAAAGATTTTGTGCCTGACTGTCCTCTCTTCTTGCTGTCTCCCTCAGGAAGGTCTCAATGAGCTCAACAGCACAGCCATCAAACCCCAGGTGAAGCCATGGATCAACTTATTCCTCTCTGTCTCCCACAACATCGAAGAGGTGAGGCTCGGTGTTCTCTGCTTCTGGCTGTGCTTGGGCACTCTCTGTCTTCTGCTCAGCAGCACAGTCAGAGCAACCAATGTCTCCTTCCCCTGTTATCTACTGTTTCCTTGGCACAGAGCATCAGTAAAATACCCAGATCTTGCTCTGCAGCTGAGCATGAAAAGGGACATTTGGTAACAGAGGAGCTTGAGAAAACGGAAGGGATCAAGTGCTGCTCCAGGAGGCACCTCCCTTCCTGTCCTCCAGGCCGTTGGTTGTGGTTTACTTCAGGCCACATAAACAACCCTTTCTGCATTTCAGGAGGAGTTCAGTGACTATGAGGCAAATGATCCCTGGGTCCAGCAATTCATCGTCAATCTGGAACAGCAGATGACAGAGTTCAAGGTGAGAGAAGGATGTGGCAGCCTGCCAGGCTTTGGCCACACCTCCATGTGGCATCCTCCAGCTCCTTCCTTGCTTGGCAAGCAGAGGTGTCTTCCAAGGCTCTTAGGGATCCAGTCCCCCTTCTCCTGCAATTCTCAAAGCTTGCTTGCAGGCCCCACATACCTGGATCACCTCTGTGGTGCTCCCCACTTGATAAGTCTGCAAGTTCTTATTTGTAAGCTTTCCTAGCCTTGGGCTTTAGGGGCCTCTGCTCTGTTTTTCCTGACAAGAATGACACAGGTTTCTGCTTCCAGGCTGGACTGTCTCCAGTGATTTATGATACTCTCACTGGTCTTATGACCAGTCTCATAGCCATTGAACTGGAGAAAGTGCTGCTCAAATCCACCTTCAGCAGGGTAAGCAAAACACTCCTCTATCTTGTGGTCTGTCTTGACTGCAAACTCTCAGTAAAGGATGGGGCAGGGCAGATGCAAATATTACCCTCTATCCTCAAATATTACCCTATAAGAAACTGCAACCACCAATGACCAGCTCAGTGTCACCTTTACATCAGCACCCACAGGGACAAAGTAGGTTTGGTGATGGGACTGAGAAGAGCTGGCACTAGTAAGGGGATTGGGTTTTAAGCTGGGTCTAAACATAAGCCACTTAAATGTACAATAAATGGTCTAACTGGGACCCACCTGCTCGGAGACCTCCCTTGGTGATTTTAATTGGGTCTGCTTGGAGAGTTAACAGATCTCACTCTGTGCCCACAGCTCGGTGGTCTGCAGTTTGACAAGGAACTGAGGTCCCTCATAGCCTATCTCACCACAGTCACCACGTGGACTATCCGTGACAAGTTTGCCCGTCTTTCCCAAATGGCCACCATCCTCAACCTGGAAAGGGTGAGCTGCACTTGGTCTGCTTCTGCTGGGGGATTGTGGGAACACCAGCTGCACTGCACACGGCTTTAGTGAGTTCATCCAGATGTCATCGCACCTAACAGGGTGTGGAGAACCTGGAGAAGTTGCCCCATGTCTGATAATGCTGGAGTTCAAACTTATCTGTGAGGACAGTCTGTGCTGAGTCATCTCCTACAGCTCCCCTCTTTTTGTAGGTGACAGAGATTCTGGATTACTGGGGTCCCAACTCAGGTCCCCTCACCTGGCGCCTCACCCCTGCCGAGGTGCGCCAGGTGCTGGCTCTCCGCATCGACTTCCGCAGTGAGGATATCAAGCGGCTGCGCCTGTAGTTGGTCAGTGCCTGGATCAGCAGCATGCAGGAGCTAAGGGCAGGAAGGCTGCAGTCCTGGAGCCTGCCCAGATCCTGTCCTGGGGATGGCTGTTTGATGGTGTGGGGATGGGATGATGTCTGCCCTTTTGCTTGCATTCCTTGGAGCAAAGGGTTTTCCTGGGCCCAGTAAGAAGACCTGCCATCCTTCTGTGGGAGCAGAAACAAGGCACCAGAGGAATCTCTCATGCTGAGAATAGGATGATGCTGTTCCTCAGAATGTAGGCCAGTGCCTGCACCTGACTCCCTGTGCTCTGCTGCCCTGCAGGAGGCCACAGGCCAGGATAGGGGGGGGCTGGTGTGCCTCAAATATGGGTCTGCTGCTGCAGCTGTGTTCCCTCTGTGCCCCCAGTTTAAGGGTCAGCTATTGGAGTCACAAATGCTGAGCCCTGGCTTTCTCCTGGGGGTGATGGAGACTGTTCTGTGGAAAGGAAAAGGAGTGATTTCCTTGGGAAGGTGCTTGGAAAAATCACTAGAAAGCCTCTGTAGGAAGTAGGGCTGTATCCCTGCTGGCTCTGTACAGCTACTCTGTAAATAAACCTCGCTTGGTTGAGCTGCAGTCTCCAGTGCTGTGTTCAGCTGTGGGCCTGGAGGGAGCTGGAGAGATGTGGGACAAGAGCTCTACTCTGCTCCAGTTCTCTTCTAACCTGTGCCAGGGCATCCAGAGGATTTTCCTTGTCTTGCCTGGTTGCCTCCTGTGGCTGCAGTCCTGCGCTTTGTCCCTCAGCCAAGGCCATGGAGGGGGATGACCAGCTCTTGCATACAGGTTCTGCCATTCCCAACCCTGTAAAAAGCTTTCCTCATGCAATGCTGGGCCTTTGCTATCCTGTGAAGAGGGAACAGCTCTGCTAGGGACAGAGGAGCACAAACGTGCTGGGAACAAGTCTTTTTATTCAGACAGACTGCACAGACTAGAAACTTGCTTGCACTATCCACTATTTCACTGCTGAAACAGTGCCTCAGGACAGGAGAGGGTCTTAATTCCACATCCAGCTGCATCCCTGGTGCAAGAGCATTGCATACTGAACAGGGAGCTTGGGTCTCTGCTGCTGGAAGAGCAGGAAGGTTCCTGCTAGATGCAGCATCACAAATGCTGCTTGTTCCCTTTGGAGAACTGTAAAGACTGGAGTGAAAAACCAAAATCAGGCTGGAGGACCTAGCAAACTGTCCCTCCAGCAAGGCCACCCAGCAGGGGTAGTTTTGCCTGCCTGCACGACTTCTCACAGCTTCTCCAGGCTCTGGCTTTTTTGGGAAGTAGCAGCACAAAAAGGCCATATGGAGACCTAAGGCATCCACTGGAGCTGGCTGAAAAAGTTGCCCCTAAAGCAGTGGGGATTTCCCTGCACCTGTTCTGGATATATGCCAGCAATGGGCCAGGGCTGAAGTCCTTCACACAGCCCTGTCCCCTCCAGGGTGAGCACCATCCTTTGTATCACATCCCACGACCTCCACAGAGAAACCACCCGTGTCCACTTCGATGCTGTGGATGCTGAAGTTGCCCAATCCCTAGAAAAAGAGAAAGAGAGTCACAGGTTGGGGCAGGAGCCAGCAAAGGACCTCTCCTCACGTCCAAGGTCCCAAGGAGGGCACTGGAACAACAAGCAATCATACCCCACGTGTGGTGGGGAGAGATGCTCCTCGTGCTCTACAGGCTCTAAGACTGGCTTCAAGCTGCCTTCAACAGTGGGGGGCTCACAGCTCACCTCAGTGTTTGCCAGGATCTGGTGCAAAGCCTCTTTCTGCCGAGGGGCTTTGGTTAAGATGTAAAGGAAGCCACCACCACCAGCCCCAGCCAAGCACTGCCCGTAGACATAGGGCCGGAGAGTGTCCATCATGCGACCAACAGCCAGCGGCTCACAGCCCGGGGCCATGCACTTCTTCTGCTGCCAATAGCAGTCCAGGCACTTGCCAAGGAGCAGTAGGTCACCTGCAGAGGAGGGAATATTGCAAATTACTTGTCTCTGTTTCTCACCCAAAGGGCAGAAACGTGCTCAGCCCAAGCTAAATTCTGCCTTCTCTTTTCCAGTTCCTCTCAGCTCTGCCGGCCGAGCAAGCAACCCCAGCCCTGTCACGTTGCTATTTTTAATCCTCCACAAGGGGAGGATTTGCTTGCTTTAATGCTCCAGCTTTCTCTCTGCAGCAGCCAAATAAACCTGCTGTATTGTCCAGGCATGGCCCCCAGCCCTGTCACGAACAGCACACTGCTATCAATCAGATTCAGCATGTCTAACCCCCTCTTCCTCAAAATCTTTGTTCAAGCCTGAATTTTGGGGTATTGCCTGGTGAAGGTAGAATCAGGGGAGGATTTGAAGCTTCTGCTTCGAGCTGCAAGAGCCTGCACCCCCCCCTCAGCCTTTTTCCCCTCCAAGACTATACAGCCTCTCCCTGGGAAAGTTTTGTGTTTCTTCAGCTGTTAAAAAGGCCAACCTGGCTCAGGGAAGGGAGCTCACACCTTGCCTCAAGGCCTGGGCACACTCCTCAGCATTGCTCACCAGCGCATCAGCATTCTGCACGATGGAGGGCAGCCTGGCATACCAGTTCCTCACCACATCCTGGAAGAGGCCAGAATGTCCCTGTCACTGTCCTCCTGGCTCTGGCAGCACCTGGGGAGGTACTGCTGCACCCATGGCCTTTGACTGCCAGCTCCCTCTGGGGTGGCAGAGCACAAGTGAAGGGGATGCCACCGAAGGCCACAGGGGGAGCAGAGGCCAGCCTGTGACACACCCAGAGGCACCCAGGCATTACCTGGAGCAGGTTGCGGGCCAGGCGAGTCTTCCCCGTGTACACCAGCAGCAGGTGATTGTTCAGGGTCTCGGTAAAACCATCAGGGACTTGGATCTGCTCCACTTCTACTCTGAGTGGCAGCTGGGCCTTTGACCTCCCGATTTTGATGCCAGGAACGAGCCCACCAACTTGGTCCTGCCAACCACCCCCTGCAGAGCAGAGGGTCATCAGTCACTGCTGGGACCCCCCACCCTGTGGGTCAGCTGCTCCCCCAGGCCTTACCTGTTGTGAGTCTCTGCTCCAAGTGCAGCACAGCATGGATAAGAGACTCAGTGCTGGCAGCCTTCCCTGCTGCCCGGTACAGGGATGCCATCACTGCTCCTGCCAGGATGCTGCTGGTACCTGCAGGGAGCACAAGTGGGGCCAGGGCAGTGAGGCACTGTTGTGTCCCTCAGGGCTGGGAGGCAGCAAGGATACCCCATCCTGGTGCTGGCAGCAGGAGACTCCCACACACCAGTGAGGAACTTCCCAGCCACTTTGCTGCAGACTTACCGAGGCCAGACCCATGGGGCAGCTGGGACCAGGTGTGCACCTCAAAGCCACCCCCAAAATTCTTCATCAGCTGGGCCCACAAGGGTGTCTGTGAGGGGAACTGCACAACCTGGGTGCAGATAAAGGCAGCTTTGAGCAGGGCTCCTGAAAACAAAAAAGAAGTAAAGTTGATGCCTGCTGTGCTACCTGCTCCCTCATCCCACTGGCCCTAAAAAAAGCCATCCTGGCACCAACAGGACACTGCAGGTACAGAGCCAGGCTGGCTGGTGACCGCTTACCTGGTGCATGTGGCTGGCAGTAATCCTGTAAGTGCTCCAGCTCCCGGCACACCAGCTCTGCCACCACCTCGCTTTGTGGTGTCCCACTGAGGCTGACGAGGCGCAGCTCTGGCTGGACAATGCGCCGCACCCGGGCACCAATGGGTCGGCACCCATCCACCAGCACTGCCACGTCCACCACAGCCCCCCCATGCTCATAGGTGATGGGGGGTGTGTCGCTCCAGCCACCTGCCAACACTCACCATCAGTCCCCTGGGGCACCCTTACTCCTTTTCCCCCAGCACCACCTGACTCAGGGAATGGGCTCACCAGAGAGGTCCAGGCGGGCCGGACACACCACCTGCACCCAGTGCCCCAAGGGTGGCAGCTCCACCGGTTCATCAGTGATGAACTGGCATGAGGACATCACTGCCTGCCGGACGAGGATCTGCTCGGCCCCCTCGTAATGACGAGCTGCTCTCACCAGCAGAGCCGGCCTGGGATAAGAGAGAGGCTGAGCCCACTGCCACATCTCCATGACAGCACCAATGACTGGAATGGGGCAGGGCAGCTGCCTCTTGCCAACCCCAGCCTCACCGGCTCATCCACTTCTGCCGCTCAGCAGCCAGCTCCTGGACACCACCAGCGATGTCCCCGCTCTCCAGGCGCCCAAAAGCTGAGGCCCACTCCCTGTTGGCAGCAGGACCACTCCGCAAGCCCCCTTCCCCTTGTGCCATGCAGCCCAGGACCTCAGCAATACAGGCAAGTGCCCGTGCTGCAATACCAGCATCACTGGCCGTGGAGGCAACTAGAAAATAAAATAAAAGGAGGCTGCAAAGCACAGCTAGGCTGCAGCCCACTTCTATCATAAGCTATCCCCAGGGGAGCAGGACTTGCATGGCTTGCACCCACCCAGGCTTGTTAGATGCCCTGCAAGTACACCTCCATAGCGTCCTGTAATAGGAGGGATCACAGAATGGGGTGGGGAGCACTGAACAGTTCTGGTAACCAGAGATGCAGCCCCCGAGTCCAGCTCACCCTCATCCAGTGTGCTCAGCAAGGCCTTGTGGTAGCCCTCATGGACGGCGCTGCGGGCAAGAGGCAGGAGGCTGCTGTCCTGGCGCCCCAGCAGCACCCGCCGCACCTTGCGCTGGCCCTGCAGGAAGAACAGGGCCTGGCGGGCGTCCAGCTCGGCCTCCGTGTCCAGGCAGGGCAGCAGCTCCTGCCAGGACATACGCCAGGCCGTCCTCCAGCGTGCCAGCTTCTCACTGGCCACAGTGGCCAGGCCAAGCAGCCACAGCACATCCTCCAGGCCCAGCACCTCGCGGGCGTGCAGCACTGGGAAGAGCCGGGCGCTGAGCAGGCAGCGGCTCCTCTGCGGCATCTCGGCATCCCAAAGGTCCCCTTCCCTGATGGAGGGAGAGACATCAGCACTGCCCTGGCCCTCGAGGACACCTCCCAAGAGGGGAGCTGGAATGTGGGATGGGTTGGGGTGGTCATGACACCTCCAGGAGCTCGGTCTCCTCTCCCATCCTGACATGTGGCACCTACCGTACACCCGTCCGTTGGAAAAACTCAGCCCAGGGCACATTCAGGTAGGTGGCTTTTTCCACAGGGCTCTGCAGGGACACAGAGGGACTGATCACACTTCGGCTTCACTGGAAGCCTTGTGCCACCTCACTGCCCCCGCACCTGCCAGTCATCGAGGCGGCCGGTGAGAGTGAACACGCGGCAGGACAGGTCACGCAGCCGGACGTGGTGGCCCTGCAGGACAATATCACGCAGGGAACAGCCCCGCAGGGCTGGTGAGGAGCCCACGTTGAGGCCTGAGAGGAGGCAGCCAGGACCGATCACCAGGGGACCCTGAAGAAGAAGCAACAGTGGCATGGCTGGCCCCCAAATCAGAGCTAAATCCTGACTTTGGAATGGGACAGCCACCCTGAGAGATAAGCTGGTGCCACCACAAGTCAGGTGGCAGGATGTAATTTTGTCAAAGGCTGCAGAAACACAGACTACAGAAATTCAGGCCAGTTAACAGCCTCCAGGGCTCACAGCCATAACAGATTCCCCAAAGGAGAAGGAAGGTCTGCCCTGGTTTCCAGCTCAGGACAGGACAGACAGTAACAGCCTCATTCCTTTGTTTGCAGAGGGTGACAGCCACTAGGGTTCCCAGCACCAGCCACAAGGTAGCCCCAAAGAGGAAGGGCACTCCAATCTCACAGCTGTGGTTCCTCCATCCTAGGCAGCAATATATCACCCTGCTGCCCATTCAGAGCACTGGGAGCTGTGCATCACCCCCATTCTAGTCATGTACCTGGAGGTGACAGTGCTGGATGACACTGCCAGCTGCCAGCTGCACAGCTCCTTCCAGCAGGCAGTTGGTGACCGAAGAGCCATCCTCCAGGAGAAAGGGTTGCTGCCAAGGGCACAGAGATGCGTGGGAACAGGGTCTGGGCACACAGCTCAGAGCAACTCCCAAAAAATGCGCATGAGCAAGGCCGGGGATGGAAGGACATACATCCACGTGGGAATGGGCTGTCTTGCAGAAGCGAAGGTGGCTGGCAGAGCCAGGCAGGAGAGTCAGGCTGCGGATGTGGTCGCTCGCAGAGGCACTCATGTAGTCATAGGACGCGTTGGGAATGCAGACTAGGGAGGACAGGAGAGCTTTTAGCACACGGACAAAAAAAAGTGGGCGTGTCTGACACTCATGTGAGCTGGGCTGAACATCACGGGTTGAAGGGGTAGGGAGTGAAGACCTTGGGACCCGCAGCTGTGGGGAGACACAGATGACCCTCAGGCCCTGACCACTCCCCATGCAAGGGAGAGGGCACAGTAATGGGTCACATCACGTGCACTCAACGCAGCAGAGAATGGTTGGGTTTGGAAACCCAGTCTTAAAGATCATCCAGTTACAACTGCCTGTGCAGGGACACCACTAGAATTCGGAAGAAAGCACTCACCCATGCTAAGAGGGAAGCCACGGAGAGCTGTCCACAGTACAGAGCGGGCACTCCTCACACTGGCATCGCCACCACCCTTCACAAAATCTTCCTCTGTCATCCCCCCTGCCATGCACAGCACAATGTCGAAGAAGAGGGAAAGCTGAGGAGAAAAGGGACTTGTTAGGTCCAGCCATCTTGAACCCCACCCTGCTACTGGCTGCTCCCTCCCACTACCTCTCCCACCCAAATCTCGCAGCGTGAGGGCAAACAGACCCTACAGAGATGCCCAGCAGTGACACCTGTGTGGCAAAGGGTCCCATCCCCCACACAGGGGCTGTCACCTGGATGGGTGGTGCCCCCGAGTCCAGCCCCATGTAGGTGCAGGCGTCCAGAGGAGGGATGACGTGGGTGGCCAGAAGCTGCTCAGCAGCATCCGAAGACAAGAAAACAATCCCACAGACCTGCCAGACACATCAGGGCTGAGGCTGCAGCTGTGGTGACACAAGGGATGGGGCTGGCAGGGTCACCAACGCCCGAGTCGTGCCGTACCAGTGGGACGGTGCCATCTGGCCCTGCACACTGCTGGATCTGGGCCTCCGTGCCTTTGTAGATAATGTCATGTACCAGCCCCTGGGAGCAAAACACTCGAGTGAGCTCTTCAGGGAACCCCAAGCCAAGCAGCCACAGCAGTGCTGAGACTTCAGCACCCAAGGGATCCAAGGACTGGGGATCCCTGCACCTCCAAGGGATGCCTCTTGAAGGGGGAGCTGCCCCAACCTGCTCATTGGTGAGGTAGACCCCATGGTTCCTGGCATATGCTGGGGTCCCAGGCACTGCAATCACTCGGACACCCTGGAAGCCATCCCAGTTGATCCCTGGGGGGAGGGACAGAGACCAGTGCACACTGGGGCAGTGCATGTACTCACATTGGCCACAACTGCCTGAAAACCTGAACCACAGCAACAAAAGTGGCAGCAACATCCAGCCTTGGCCACCTCACTGCAAGCACAGTGGATGCTCCCAGCCATGCCCAGAACAGCAATAGCTGCGTATCCACACCCTCATGGGAGCACAGCACAGTCTGAACCAGCTGTGCTTCTGGTTCACAGAACCCTGTCCCACTCCAAAGCTGGTGCTGGAAGCAGGGCTGATAACCACTCACCTGGTGTTGAGGGCACAGTGAGGAGCATATCGGTGCTGCAGACCCAGACGCCAGGTGGGGACCCTACACAGAGCTGCAAAGAGAAGGAGCACTGCCCAGGGATGGCAGGGAAGGAGCCCGGGAACCCAACACCGTTTCCATCCTGCTGGGAGCCAAACCCATCCCCAGGGCCCCATCCCCTACACAGACCCTGTGTGTCATGGTCCCCAGCAGGCTGTCCAGGTTGCAGACCAGCGCTTCGGCTGCGGCGCCGGGCTCCTCCGCGGGCAGGCAGGTGAACGCACGGCCACAGTCGTCGAAGGAGAAGTCGCGGCCCTGGTGGGACAGAGAATACGAGGAGTCACCGAGAGGGAGCGGCTGCCATGAGAGGTTTTATGCTGGGCTGCAGGTCGGCTCTCACCATGTGCAAGATGAGGATGCGGGCATCCCTCAGGACGTCAGCGGTCACCACCTGGGAGAGGATAGCAGGGAATAGTCAGTGGGGACAGGACAGACACCCCCCTTCACTTCCAACGTCTCCTCCGGACTTCCAGCCTCCCTAGACCCACCCGAGGCTGTCACCTCTCACCGTGTATCCGGCCCGAGCGCTGAGGTGCTCGGCCGCCACCAGCAAAGCGTTCAGGGTGGCACCGCCGCTGCCCAGGTGGGCCCAGGGGTCCTCCACGGCCAGGAGCAGCGCGGGGGGACGCGGGCCCAGCCCGCCTCGCAGCCGCCGCACCTCCAGCTCTGCAAAACGAGAGGCGGGCGGCGTTGAGAGCCGGTCCCACAACCGCACGCAGGGAGGGAGAAGAGGCGACCGCCCCGACACTTGCCTCGCTGCAGGGCGGACACACCGCCATGGCCCCGCCGGCAGGTGAGAAGAAGAGCGCTCCACTCCACCGCCATAAGCACCTCCTCCGCCCCCAGCCTGGCGCCGCGGGGCCTGCTGGGATGTTTAGTCCGCTTCCCGCAGCCGCTCCGGGGCGCTCGTCGCTGAAGGACTACAATTCCCAGCGTGCACTGCTGGAGAAGAGGCGAGGCACAGACCCCTTAAAGGCACAGCTCACCCCTGTGCTGCTTGCCCCTTGCCCCCATCTCGGGGGACTTGCAAAGGGAGAATGAAGGTTTGACGTTTTCTGCCCTAAAATGTGTCCCGGCGGCGGTGCGTACCCCTAAGTGCCCTGGGTCACCCCGGTCACGAGTCCGGTTCCCCGCAGGGTTCTCTGCAGAGAGAAGGGATGCCCGGGCGGTGGGCGCTGGTGTTGGTTCCCGGTGGGTTGTCAGGGTGGGTGCCCGGTGGGTGCTGGAGCGCGATCGGGGCGGATATTGGGGGGTGCCAATGCACTGGGGTGGGTGCCGGGGTGGTACTGGAATGGGTACCAGGGAGGGCAGCGGGAGATGCCGGCGCGCCAGGTGGATAGCGGGGTGGATAACGGGGGGATGGGTAGTGGGGTGCCGGTGTCCAGAGACGCCAGTGCGCCAGGGGGGTACTGGGATGGTACCGATCTGGGTACCGAGCTGGGTATCGCACTGGGTACCGGGGGTGTTCAGGGGGCTGCCGATGCGCCGGATGGGTACCGGGGTGGATCCCAGTGGATGTGTACGGGGGATGCCGATGCTGGGCACCGGGCTGGGGAGTGTCCATGTGCCAGGGTGAGTCCCGGCTGGGCACCGGGATAGATTCCTGTGATGCCGGTGGGAGAGTGGGCGTAGTCGGCCCCTCTCGCCTCCTACAAGTCCCACAAGCCCCGCCGGGCGGCCCAGGACTACATCTCCCAGCCTGCCGGGCCCGTCCCCCTCCCCCCCGCCCCGCGCGGCACGGCACGGCTCCGCACGGCGCGGAGGGCGGTGGCGGCGGGGCCCGGGTGAGCCCGGCGGCGGGGCTATGCCGGAGCTGAGCCAGGTACCGCGGCGGAGAGCGGGCCCGAGGCGGGGGATGCGGGCACCGCCCGGCTCGGCTCGGGATGCCGGTCCCGGGGAGGCGGCGGGGATAGCGGGCGGCGGCGGGGGAGCCCACCCGGGAGCTGCCCCGCTGCTGCGGGCTGCTCCCGGTGCTGGGAGCTGGCCTCGGGGAGTACCTACACGGGATGCGTTGGGTTCATCACCGGTGCGGTGGTTCCGGTTGCTGGTGCCGGTGCTGAGAGCAGGTCTCGGGGCTGGGAGTATCCGCCCGGGATGCAATGGGTACTGAACAGCCCCGGGAGGATGTGCTGTTCTCTATCCGGGATGCAGTCCGGGTTCTGGGTGCTGCTCCCGGTGCTGGATGCTGGCTGCCGGGAGAATCCACGCGGGTCTCACTGGGTTCAGGTCCAGGAGGTTGCTCTGGTCCGAATGCTGGTCCGGGCCCTGCGGTGCTGTCCCCAGGGAGGATGTGCTGGCCCCAGCCGCGGGGTGCAGCTCCGGGGAGCAGCTCCAGGGTGCTCGCCCCGGGGAGGATGTGCTCGCCCCGGGGAGGATGTGCTCGCCCCGGGGAGGATGCTAGCAGGGGCCCTAGTAGGGGTGTGGGGTTGGGGCTAACGGAGCTGCTCCCATCCAGCCGTGTGCCCTGGGATCTTGAGGGCACAGCCAGGGGACCAGGGTGGGAGGACTGGCTGCGAGTGGCCCCCGTCCCCATCAGTGTCAGTGTGCCTGCGAGGTCCCTCAGCAGCAGTGTGACACATGGCTGCGTGACACACGGCATCCATTGCATGGGTAGTGGCAGCCAGGATTTCACGAACAGCCTTAGCGTCCCTGGGGACAGGGCAGAAAATGTGTCACTGAGCAGGGGATGTCCCTTGCCTGCTTCTATGTGTGTGTGGGGTGGTACTAACGCAGGCATTGGTATGAGATCTTACCGGTGTGCCTGTCCCATTGTTTCAGGGTGTTTCCCTGGCTGAAGCAAGGCTGCCAGAGTGGGATTGATACCGGAGACCATATTTCAGGGCCTGGTAGTTTAAGGGGTCTCCACATATGCCGGGGGCTTAAGTGCTGCTGGCGCAGGGGGAAGACAAGGTTTTGCTCAGGCTCCATCCAGCTGCAGAGTCAGAGCGCTTATTCCAAAGCTCCCAAATATTTCCCTAGAGTGAGGGCTTCCCATGCCAGCAGGAAAATATTGGGGGGGAATGGCATTTGAACAGCGTGAAAGCTCAGACCGGAGGAAGGGCCACGTCCCCGCCTGCTGCGAACAATCATAAAACATGGCTGGGGGGAACCAAATCACACAAAACCCCAAAACTTGCTGAGCCTCCCTCCAGGAAGACGTTTGGGCTTTGAGCTGGTGAAGGCAGTTTTCCCTGCATTATCTCGGTCTCTCCTTTCCCCAGCCCTGAGCAGCTGCCCCGGCCACATCGTGGCCAAGGCAGCGAGCGCCACCGGGAAGTTCCAAAGAGCTTTGGGCTTGGTTTACCCTTTCTTCCTTTTTCTTCCCCTTCTATCAGAAGCAGAGGTCGCGGTCTCAGCGGGGAGGGCTGGGCTGGGGAGGGGGATGCCTTGCCCGCCGCCCACCCCCGGCGCGCGTTCCTGTCTGTCTGTCTGTCTGTCTGTCCCCATCTGGCAGCGACAGCGGCCCCGCTGCCGGTTGTGTGCGGCAGCTGCCCGTCCAAAGCGCTTCCCTCTCCTCCGAGGAGCTCATGGCGGTCCTTGGGAACGGCGGGGCGCGCTCCGCTCACCGCCCACGCCTCGCCGGCGCCGGAGGCAGACAGGGAGAGCAGGCAGGGAGAGCCCCGGCAGCCGCATGCTGCGGGAACGCTTGAATTTTCGTGCCCAAACAAGCTCCAAACTGCCGCTTTTTGGGGAAAGACTCCCATGGCACTGAGGGCTCGGTGGTTTTTGCTGCGGGCTCTCGGCACGCCGGATGCCGCCCAGCTTGGCATGCCGAGGTCCCGGCAGCTCGATGGCTTTCATCTCCTCCCGTTGCATTTAATTTTTGCACGATTGCAAGCTGCTAATTGCTCTCCAGTGGCTTGGCCGGCTTCAGTGCTTCTTTATGAGCCAGGATTTATCAGAACCCGCCTGACCCCGCGGGGTTGAGATGTGATGGGAGAGGCTGGGAACCTCCTCTTCCTGCCCTGCTGGGTTCTGCACTGGGCTCCGGGGTATCTCTTGGATTCATGTTGCTCTTTGCCACTGGCATCTTCCACCGGCAGCTTTTTTTGCAAAGTGCAAGTGATTTGGGTCCCAGCTCCAAGGCAAAGTTCCCAAAGATACCCCCAAAACTGCACACGGATGACTGGTGAATGTATATAAATAGACAGATAGATATGTAGATATATATATATATATATATATGCGCGTGTGTGTATGATGTATAGTTTGGGGTTTTTTTCTTACAAGACGGATAGTTCAGTGTTTGAGCTCTAAAATAACACCCTCAACAGTTGCTCTTGGGAAACCAGAACAAACTGTAGTCACTTTGCTCCAGGTACCACCGTGTCCCCAGCAAAGGACTTTTGATCTGCAGCCGTAATTGGGCTAATTAGGAAGCTACAAATGCTCCCCCTTCTCCCCAGGTGCCTGAGCAGAGCCCCAGCTAGTGGAGAGAAGTCAGGGGCCCTTGCCAGTGGAACTGCTCTAATTCTACATTTAATGGGAGTTCTTGGCTGTAACTGGGCTGTGCTGGGATTTATGCCCTCCGGCCTGGGGAGCCTTTCGTAACTTCCTGGCAACCCAATCTCGTAGGTGCAATTTCCCTAACTAGTTCAATGTCCTCTCTATGCTGCCCGCAGGCGGAGCAAACCTGGGTGTCCTTATGGGGCCACCCGCAGCGTGTGCCAGGGCTGCAGTCCTCAGCTTGGGTTGTGCCCCGGGGGAGAGAGGGTGGCTGTGGGTACAGCACCCATCAACCAGCCCTCGAAAGCCAAAGGAGAACCTTTCTCGGCGCAGGTGAGATCCAGGGAGGAAGACAGGAAAGGGCAGAGGGCCCCGTGTCCCAGCTCGCCTTCCCCGGGCAGAGGGCCACAGCCGGCAGCGGCGCCTCCTGGTGCAGCATCCGCCTGTCCTGCGCTCCTGCACATATTTTCCTGGTGAGGTATCAGGATGAACCTAATGGGTCCAGGCTGGTAAAACCAGCAGCAGTGGTGGAGGGGAAGTGGTTCCTTCCCAGCCGGCGGGGAGGCTCGGGGTGCTGTGGCTTCTCACCGGATGCTGGTGGTGAAAGGGGAGCAGGGGCCCTGCTCTTCCTAGGGAGCGTCTGCCGGCAGTGTGGCCTCATCTTCACAGGCAGCTGAGGCTGCAGGGACACTGACTCAGCGGTGTCTGTGGGGTGCAGACTTCCTGTAGCATGCAGGAAGGGGGACGGGGACCAGGCAGACCCTGCTGACCCCAGCCTGAAGCTGTGGAAGGATGAGACAGAAATGTGGCTGGCGGTGGAGAGCTGGCTCCCCATGGGACCAGATGGCTTTGCACAGGGAACTGGGGCAAGGACGGGAGAGAAGAGTAGGCAGTGGTAGGTGGCAAGCCTTGGACTCTGCCTCCTCTGTCCTGCTGGGTTGGTTGGCCCAACCTGGCTGCTCAAGGGGACTTGGCTTGGTGGCACATGGTATGGTGGTGCATTACCCAGGGTTCAGTGATACCCAACTAAGTGGTACCTGAGCTGCGTTGGTGCAAACTGAGGCAGCTGGTGCAAGCTGGGGCTTCTGGGGTGGGTGCTTGGGGTGCAGAGCAGCTGGGCTGGCTCTGTCTCTCAGTTCCACAGGCATTCAGGATCAGGGCGGAGAATCCCACTCCCTTCCCTGCCTGTCCTGCCTCAAGGAGGGAGCTGCTGCTTGTGGCACGGGGATCTGAGTGTGACAAGGCCATGCTGTGAGCATGGCCTTGTGCTTATCAACACCTCGGGAGTGGAGGGTCACTTGTTCCCCGTGGCAGCCTGGGGAAACACAGAATGGCTGGCAGAGGGTGGAGGAAACGGCACTGGAGAATGCCAAGGGACATCAGCCACACAAGCTGGTACATGTGGCTGGATGGTCCCAATGGAAGTGTGAATTGCAGGGACAGGCATCTGTCTTGGCTGCTTCTGCCAGTGTGAGTTTTGGTGGGGAGAGTACCCAGCCAGCACTGCCTCATCAGACAGCACAGGGTGTTCAGGCTGGTGCAGTTCCCTGAGAGTTCCACTATGGTTGAGCCAAGGGGCTTGGGATGCTGCTGGGCCAGTCTCTGCAAGCCCATCCCACCATCAGCAAGGGTGGGAGCATTTCATCCTGTTTTCCCACTACTGGCATTCCCCTGTGCCCCTAAATCCCATAGGAAATGGCCTCACCGTGGCTGGCTCTATCCCGGCTCTGTGCTGGGGATTTGGCCTCCACACTCTTTCCTGGCCTTATCCCAGTGCTGAGGGATGAGCCTGAAATAACCTTTCTGGAGGCCAGACACGAGGAAAGGCTGGAATAGCTGCCATTGGCAGCCAGGGGTGCAAGTAGGGTTTAAAACATGGGAAACCCAATTAACTTGGCTCCATTAGCTGATTGAGCTGGCTGATAAGAGTATGATTAATTAAAAGGATGAAGAATAAGTTACCTGCGGTCGGGATGTGGTGGTGGCTTAACGCATGAAATTGGCTTCTTCTCTTAATACCTGGTACTTGTCTACTGCCAGCAATCAGCTCTTCATGGCATCAGCCCATGGCAGGGAGAAACGTCCTTGTGCCAACACCAGGTCTGCTCCCTGCTCCCTCTCCCATCCAGCTTCCAGGGAGGAAAAAAATTCAAGGGGAAAATATAATCCCTCTAGATGGGCGAAGCAGGAAAGGACCTTGTTAATTAACTGCACTTTTGTCGCCAAGTCTTGCTTTGGCTTTGGCAGCCCAGTGATGCAGAGGGACAGGCTCTCGTCCCCTCCTGCACTGCCTCCGGCAGATTCTCACTCACCGTTCCAAGCTAACTCAAGCTGACGGCCCCACGGAGGCTCCTCAGCACTCTGCCCGGGGGCTGCAACCTCTGGCAGTGCTTGGGCCATGGGCAAAAAGAAATTAGAATAGTTTTTTTGACTTTTTGTAGTAATCCTGCTCACTGAAGTCGTGCCTGAAACAAGGGCAGGTCACCACTCGCTGTTTCTGTCTGGCATTGAAGGAGTGGGGAGAAGACTCAACTCAGATCTGCTCCTTCCCTGTCAAAAAAACCCAACCCTAATTCTCAGGTTTTCCCCCATGACAGAGATACCAGTCCAGTCCAAGGGGGCCCTGTGTGATTCCCCCTCCTCCACGTGCAAGAGCCATGCACCACTCTGGCACTCTGGTTTGGTGGTGGCAGAAGTGATGCCTGAACAGCGATCATGAGATGAATAGCACCTGGTTAGGCAGAGTGGCATTTCCCAAAGACTTCTGGAGGAATTTTCAGACCATTTATACCTGGGAAGAGCAGCAGCCAGTGTAACAATGCTGCCACTGCTCCTCCAGTCCCCTTCTCTCCCTGCCTCAAACATGGTGACATCCCATCTCCCAGTGATGGCTCCTTCCTTTGCCCACCCTGCCATTTACTGGCATGGAAATTCATGCTAACAACCCCAGAATATCTTAGAAACGAGCAAACAAAGCCAACGAGACCTAAAGATGCCAAGTGGGGATGTATCAATGGTGTTTTTTCTGACAGGGAAGGGGCAGGCATCCTCCAGCCCTGGGGCTGTCAGTCACATCGCTTCAGCATTCATCCTGAAATGAAAGATTATATGATTGGAAAAAACCATCCACCTGTAAAAGCAGCAGAGCAATTTCCCAGGACCTTTTAATAGCCTCGCTTCATTATCTCCTGCAATCAAAGAGAAACTTGTGTTTGATGAGTACATGGTCCTCAGGAGGCAACTTAGGATCCTGGGGATGAATTTGGGAATGGAAGGGCATTTAGTGGCATCGCTGAGTTGTCAAGCTTGCTCACCACAGAAGAAATCCTGAAATCCCTTATTATTTTAAGAAGGAAACATCCAAATCTGGTGCAAAAAGCTCTTCAAGTGGGGTTTTATTTGTGGAGGCGAGTTGGATTAGGATTGGGCAGGGAGGGCATGGATATAGCTGGGGTGTGTTTGTATGTGTGGGTGCCCTGACCCTGCTGGGGGCTGTAAGAACCAGTGCAGATGGAAATAGCTGCCAGCTCCTGCTAGGAAAATGATGACTCAAACCAGCCGCTGGGATTTAAGGCTTCTTTTATTGCGCATGAGCTGGGCTGGAGGGGAGTTTTCCCCCTGCTGTGGTCAGGGGCAGCTCCAGGAGGCCCCAGGATGGGGGCTGTGCAAAATGTGCTCCAGATGGTGTCAGGGCTGGGATGCATCAGGCAGGACCAGGCTGGGCTGGGGAGCCGGAAAGGGATTTTCCCCCTTTCACCAGGAACAAAAATAACACAAGCACGTGACAGTTCATTTCCTTTAGCCTTTAAAAAGCCCCGTGGGATGGTAAGCAGCTGGAACAGGGGAGAGGGATCCTGCTTGGTGGCCCTGCCATATCACAGCTGGAAAAGCCCCACAATTGCCTTTTACCTACAAATCTTTCCAGCGTTTTGCATCTGGGGGGTGGTGGGGGGGGGGGTGTTAAAGCTTTTTACTGGCTTTATCCCAAACTTCCTAAATGCAAACCCTCTGTTTAACAACCACCCTGCTTTTTCCACTGGCAGCAGCCCAAGGAACTGGTTGCAGTCACTGCTAGCCATGCGTGTGCCATGTAGGCGTGTTAAAATTCCCTGCCAGAGCCCAGGAAAACACTTGAACTGTGATGTGCCTTCGGTTTTTGCCTCTTTCCTTTAAAGACTATCCCCACTTGAACAAATATTTGACAGGGGGTTAATGGTTTGGGCAGGAGGCGTCCATGCCTGACAGTACAATGGGCTGGGGGAGCCTTTGGAGTTCACGTTCTCCTCCCATCCCAACAAGGAGGTTTTTGGGGGCTTAGCAGTCTGTTCCTGGAAAGCAAGCCAGGATCTTCCAGAAAGATGTTTTTTCGTAGGGAAAAAGGATCCTGGTGCCTGCCAGCTCCTAATTACTGCTGCCGGCCTCGGCACTGGCTTAATTGGGGCCAGGGTTGAGCCGTGGAGGTGATGCCTCTGCAGGATTTTGCCTTGGGGCGGGGTCACTCGCTCCCCAAAAAGTCCTGGAGGGGAGGTCATGTCTCCAAACCCCCGGGATTCTGGATCCTGCCCCAGCTCAGTGATTGCGTTAAAAGGGGATTTACAGCCATTTTTTTTTTTTTTAATTGGGCCAAAGAGCGCTGTCTGGCTTTGCCCGCCCCCCTGCTCGGGGGGCTTGGCCGCTCCTCCCGCCCCTCCCCGAGCGCAGGCGCCAGCACCTCTACCCTGGCTATTTTTACCCACGAGGATCACGAGCGAGCCAGTGACCTTCCCCAAGGGACGCTGCCACTCGGGGGGGCACAGTCGCCAGCGTCCGTCCCCAGGGTGCCCGTCAGGCTGCGGAGCGGCTGTGTCCCGGCTGTGTCCCGGCTGTGTCCCGGCTGTGTCCCGTCTGTTTCTCGTCTGTCTCGGCGGCGGCAGCCGGCGAAGAGGGTTTTGGAGGGGCTGCTTATGGCGAGATAGAGAAGGAGAATTGAGCCTACAGAAAGGAGCCGCTTGTTTGGCTCCGGAGGCGAGTTCATAGCTAAGCCTTTGTCTGGCACAGACAGGGAGGGCACAGTCCGGGAGCTGCTGCGAGTTCCCCGGGCACGGATAGCGATGCCGGCATCTCAGCTCCCTGCGCACCCTGCGCTTGCTTGTCCCCTTTGGGGATGGCTCGTACCCTGCAGCCCTGTGCCTGGGACGGGCTGGGAGGCATTTTGGGGCTTTCAGTGGGGAATAAAGTCCTCAGCCCCCAGCACCCTCCTTCTGCTCGGCACAGCCCCCCGGCTCTGCTGTCTGTATCGCTTCCCCTTGACGCGCCGTCCCCTCCCTCCCGCTCCAGGCCGGTGTCTTGGTGGCCGTGTTCCCGAGCCAGCGGCTGAGGGCAGCGTGCCAGCGGATCAGCTAAACCCCGGGGATGATGAGCACTGTCGCAGCTGAGCGCCAGCCGGGGCCGGGACCTGGAGGAGCCGCCGGGGCGCGGTGCCGCGGCTGAGGCCGGCGCTGTGCCCAGCCGTGCCGGACCCGTCAGCAGATGCTCCCTGCCCGGCACGTGGAGCCACCGGGGGCCCTCGCCGCGGCCGGACAACGCGGATGGAAAGCTGCAGCCCAGCAGGTAGGAATCTGGTGCGGTGGTTCCTGGGGGGCTCTACATCCCCCTCCCCACACTGCCACCGCAGAGACTTAGAGCTCTCGTTCCTGCAGGGAGCCTCGCTGGCCGGCTGACGCCCTCCCGCGCCCTATGCCCGCGCCCTATGCCGGAGCGGGCGCCGTCCCCGGCTCAGCCACCCGACGACCATGAAGTGCTCGTTGCGCTTCTGCTTCCTCTCGACCGCCTTCCTGCTCGTATTCGTCATGTCCCTCCTCTTCACCTACTCCCACCACAGCATCGCCTACCTGGACCCCGGCGGGCTGGGCGGCATCCACCGGGTGAAGCTGGTGCCCGGCTATGCCGGGATGCAGCGGCTCAGCAAAGGGGGGCCGTACCCCCGGGGCTGCTCCTGCCGCCGCTGCCCGGCCGAGGAGCCCGGAGCCGCCGACTGGTTTGATAGGCGCTATGACGGTACCGTGTCCCCAGTGTGGACCAAGGAGAACATGGATCTACCGCCCGACGTCCAGAGGTGGTGGATGGTGAGCGCAGGGACGGGAGTGCCAAGGTGTGCTCTGTCACGGGGGCACAGATTTCTCCTCCACCAAGGAGGAGGCGCTGGCTGATTCCCCCCTGCCCCCCTTCCCTCCTTGCAGATGCTGCAGCCCCAGTTCAAGTCCCACAACACCCACGAGGTCCTGAGCAAGCTCTTCCAGATCGTGCCGGGCGAGGATCCCTACCGCTCCCGTGACCCGCGCCGCTGCCGCCGCTGCGCCGTGGTTGGCAACTCAGGCAACCTACGCGGCTCTGGTTACGGGCCGGAAATCGACGGGCACGACTTTGTGATGCGGTGAGCGCCAGAGAGCACTGCCAGGGACCTGCCCACCCATGCAGCACAGAGTGCTGGCACCACCGGGTACTGGGATGAGTGGGAGTGAGTCCAGACTTGCCACCTCCCCTGGGTGGGAAACTGCTTGGCAGCATTCAACAGCTCATGGGGATCACCCGTGTCATCTGCAAGGCACAGGGCATTTGGAGGGTGGTGTCATCCTCCCTGCTCTCTCCCCAGGATGAACCAGGCCCCCACGGTGGGCTTTGAGGGCGATGTGGGTGGTCGGACCACACACCACTTCATGTATCCCGAGAGTGCCAAGAACCTTCCCGCCAACGTCAGCTTTGTGCTTGTGCCCTTCAAAACCCTGGACCTGCTCTGGATCGCCAGTGCCCTCTCCACCGGCCAGATCAGGTTGTAAGTACCCAGTGGGCACTGGCAGCACCAGGCTGGTGGCTCACCTAGCTCGAGGACAGCTCGCCTGGGAGCAGTGGGGATTCATTTGTTCCTCCCTCCAAGAGTCCCTCTTGGCAACTCAGACTGGAGTTGGAGGCACGGGACCCCCAAGAACTCACCTGTCTCTCCGCTCTTTTCCCAGCACATACGCACCTGTGAAGCCTTTTCTGCGTGTGGACAAAGAAAAGGTACGTGAGGCTCATCCCTGTCACGGCCACGAGCACCTGTATGGCTGTGCCCTCTGGCACCTCATCATTCCCCAGGCTTCCTTCCCAGTGCTCCTTCATGGGGTGCTGATGCCAAAGGGAGCATGGCTGGGGCTCCTGTGCTAACTCTGGTCTGTCCTCTCAGGTGCAGATCTACAATCCTGCCTTCTTCAAGTACATCCACGACCGCTGGACAGAACACCACGGGCGTTACCCCTCCACTGGCATGCTGGTGCTCTTCTTTGCCCTCCATGTATGTGATGAGGTGGGTGATGTTTCCTTCAACTCCGGGCTGGTATGGAGTGGGTTTGCTGAGGTCCTGAACCTTGCAGGGTTAAGGAAGGAGGTGGATTCTTTGGGTCAAACTGCAGCAGACACTCTGGTTGCCTGACACCACAGTGATGGGCGTCCTACCCTCAAGGGATGGGAAGGCTGTGCACAGGGATGGGCACCTTTGAAAATCACACCCAGTGGTGCAGGGGTTGCTGAGACAAGGGTCCCAGCCTGGTGAGGAGTTCTGGCTCACTCCTTCCCTTGCTACTGCAGGTGAACGTCTTTGGGTTCGGTGCTGACAGCCGGGGGAACTGGCACCACTACTGGGAGAACAACCGCTACGCCGGGGAGTTCAGGAAAACGGGGGTGCACGATGCCGACTTCGAGGCACACATCATTGACATGCTGGCCAAAACCAGCAAGATCGAGGTTTACCGGGGAAACTGAGGGCTGACTCTCCAGCTCCCTGCTCCTGCAGGTCCTGCTTCCTGCAGGGGCAGAGGGTAAGGGTCTCCCTGGTGGCCTCAGGCAATGAGCACCGCAGTTCCGCATTGCTGACAGCCACTGCGGTGGTATTTGGTGCCTCCAGCAGCCAATCAGGTTCAGAGCTAAAGGAGACTTTTTGCTTTTTTTTAATTATTATTATTATTATTATTATTAAGAAACCCAGCTGAGAAAGGATTTATAAACACAATCAGCGACTGACCAGGCGGCAGGGGTGGCCGCCTTGCATCTCTCTACAGTCAAACCAAATGCTGCTCTTTTTAAAAGAAGACAACCCCCCACCCCCCGAAGCCGCGGGACTTTGGGGAACCCCTTGAGCATCGTGTCCCAGCCGAGGGAGCTGTGGTGGCTGCGCAGCCTCACCAGTGGAACCAGCTGCTTCTTTTTTCCTTTATTTTGGTATTTTTCTTTTATGCCCCTGGGGCAGCCGATGCCGTCATTTCTCCAGGGAAGGCTCCTGGCACAGAGGCAGGTCCCAGCACATGGATCCATGGTGGGGAGCCAGAAGCTTCAGGAAGCCGACCATTGCTGATGCTCTGCTGCAGGCTGGTGACTGCTGGCACAGCTGTGCAGGGAGATGCACTTTGGGGTGCAGCATCCGTGCTCTTCTATCTGAGGATTGGGGAAGGGTAGGACAGATTTCAGGAATGACTGCACAGGAGGCAGCTAAGACACTTACACAAGCAGCAGCTGGTCACTCCAGCTGAGCTCTCCAAGCAGTTGTAGGATGGTTGAGGGGTTGTGGTTGCAGCAGGGTCAAGCAGACAGGATTTCCTTTGCTTTCAGGCTGGGAAAAATCAGATCAGAGATTAGTGGGTGAGTGAACTGTGCTTTTGCTTTTGTGTTGCTCTAAACAGCTCTAGTGAGAAGCTGAAATCCCAAAGTCTTTGCTCTTTTTGCCAGGGTGGTGCTTGGTTTACACCATTCTGTTACAGCCAGGGCCCTCAGAGTCCCCAAGGCTTCCCAGGCTGGACAGGCAGCCTATGACATAGGATGGGGAGATGCTGAAGGAAACTGCCCCCTCAGAGATGCCATTAAAACCACTTTCATTGGGTCAATAAGGTGGGGCTGTTTTTTTTAGGAGATGCTGGAAAACTCAAGATAAAGGCAACCATGGAAAAGGTCCTCCAGAGAGGGACCCTCCACCTGCACAGCTGGTGCTGAGAGTGGAGCAGGGGCTCGGGAGCAGTGCCCATCTGGGGAAAGCTCTGCCCATGCTGCCTCGTTGCAATAGCTAATTTGAGGAACAATCACTGAAGGTTTTTTGGGCTTGGAGATTTTTTAGCCTTTTGTATCTGGCTTTTCTGTAGCAGCCTCTTACCTGCTTCTCCACTTTGGTTTGGTTGTTTTTCAGGGTTTTCTTTTAATTTTTTGAGGTTTCTCTGCAATTGTGAAACACATCTGGTGGAGGGTGTGGGTTGGTCACCTGGAGCTGGCAAGTCAGCAGTCCTTGGGCTGGGGAAATTCAGCTTTTCTGTCCGCAGGGATTTAAACGCTGGAGTTTTGTGGTCTGTTTTGGTCTGTAGAAGTGGAGCTGCCCTGGTGCAGGCAGCCCCAAGCCCCAGGACACAGGCTGCTGCAAGCCCTGCTCTCTACCTTCCTGGGTGTTTTTCGCTGATTTTTTGTTTTGTGTTTTTTTTTTTTTTAATGGGGAAGAAAACTAAAAACCACAAAACCACGAGCAACAATGAGTGCCTTGACCATCTCCTATCGGCGACGCCAGGCTGTGCCCAGGCTGGGGGCAGGGACGTGGCCGATGGATCTGGCAGTTGTACCCACTTCCCTCCTTGCACCATGCAGGATCTCAGCTGGGAAGTGCTGCTGGGAGAGAGGGACACATCCAGGCCACCATACTGGTGGCAAGAAAGGCCAAATCCGGTGTGATGAGGCTGGACCAGCTCCTGTTGCAAGTGAGCAGGGCCAGGCCCGACAATCACAGGGTGAGCAGAGATGCTGGGTACCAAACCCAGGTACCCAACCTTCTGGCAGCACAGTACTGGCATCCAGTGTCAGGTGTGCTCGCAACTCCTGGCTGCCCTGACAGTATTTTTTTTTTTTGCTAACTTCCTTCCCCTACTCCCCTTTTCTCTGTTGTTTTAATTATTATTATATTATTATTTTTTATTTAAGCTGTCCCACTAGGACTCGCGACCACTGGTGTTTCCCTGGCAGGGCGGCCGCAGGCAGGCGCGTGCTGCACGGCCAGCGCACCACTGTACTGTACATAGAGGAGATGTAGGCACAGGCTACGGGCAGGGGGCAGGCAGGGAGGAGGTGTCCGGGCTAGCCCACGTGGCAGAGGTTGTCTGCATCACACAGTACCTGATCTGAGCACCTCCTGCCCCACTGGGAGAGGGAGAGACCACTGCTCTGACCTAGGGCTAGGAGCAGGCAGGGAGCTTGGCCTGTAGCCTCTGTGTACATGGGTATTTCTGCACACAACTGTCTTAAACCAACTGGTTTTTTTAAAGTCAATAAAAATCATGCATCAAATCTGCTTGGTGGTTTTCTTCTGATAGCCCTGTCTACTGTGCCTTTGCCTGCACCCAAACCTGAGCATCGGTGGGGGCAAGAGAGGAGGGAAAGGAAATGAGAGGGTTGCTGGGCCCAGAAGATGCTCTGCTCTCCCCTCCTCTCCCAGGCCAGCCACCAGCCCCCAGCTGTGGTTAATATCCCCTCACTGGGGCAGGAGCAGGATCTGGCCCTGTGCCAGCCTGGGTGCTCAGCAGCAGAGCCCTGGCACAACCCCTCCAGTCCCAGACCAACAGTTGGTGATGCCACTGCTCACCCAGACCCCACATCCATGTCCCAACCACCCTGGACCCTAAAACAGAGGCTCTGCTCCCATGAGGCCTGTGTCCCTGAGCCCCACAGAGCAGAGGGAATGACATGGATAGCTGTTGAAGGACATAATTTTCAATGTGGATACAGGCAGAGGCAGGGAAGGGACTTTCCCCAGGGGAATGCAGCAGGTCCAAAACTCACTCTAGCTCCCAGGGCTGGACTTTTCATCCTGCCTAGTGTCCTTACAGGATCCCATCTAGACAACCAGGAGCGTTTGGATTCTCACACACGAGAGTCTTGCATAACTAATGGCAAAATTCAGAAGTAGTTAAAATGCCTCTTTATTAATATACAAACCTAGCAACATTTAAGCCAACCAAAATATGAAATGAAATCAAGCATGATATAAATACAGCATACATGACAACATGGCCTCAGTGGAGAGTGGCAAACTCACCCTGACTTGTGCGCTTGGGAACAACTGTCCACATCCTCTGCCATGGGGTCGGCAATCACAGCTTTGTCTCTCCTAAACTCCTCCAAATCCAAACTCAGCACATGTGAGACCACTGTTCCCCTCAAAGGAAAAGTACCTGGCATGAGCTTTGTCTGACCCCACAATGCAAAGGGAATAAAGAACTTCCCCGTGCTGCTGGAGACAACTGGCTGGCACCTGCTTGCCAGGGCCCTGCGAGGGCAGAGGGAAACGGCCATAGTGGATGAGGAACCGTGCTGCTGACATTGCCCCTTGCTCTGTCCCACCTCAGCTACATCCACTGCACAACATTCACAAGTGTAAGGCACTAGAAAAGTGTTTTCACAGGTTCAAACTTCAGTTGTTCTTAAAATTCTGGCAGCAGCGCACATCAGAAATCTTCCCAGCCCTTTTTAAATCTGGTCTCAGGAGACAAGCATGAAGGGTTTGGATGAGTGTCCTGCTGCAATCCTGTCCAGGAGATGCAGGAGAACCTGTCAAGGACTTCAGAGATACTAATCTGCCTCTGGTTATACTGAAGTATATACTGAAGTCAGATCTGTCCCACTACAGGAAAAGGAGGGAATTTTAGCATGGAAAAAAATCTCAGCAGTGCCATGGTTAAAGGCAACAGCACCGATTTTTCTCCATGCACACAAAATAGATCAGGTCCTAGCTGGGATGGCTGGCAACTCCCAAGAATCTGCTCTGCTTGTAGCAGGTGTCAAGGATCTGTGTGGGAAGATCAACTGTTACTAGTATTAACAAATCCATAAACATTAATGTGAGCACTTTCCTCATTATAAGGTACTGCTCCTCTTTCTTGGGATTCCTTATTCCAAGCAGGTGGGATCTCTAACAGAACATCAGCCCAGCATGCCACACCTGCAAAGCAGCTCTGGTTTGTGCTGTAATCCAGAAGCCAGCCTGACATCAGTAATCCAGCCCAGCTTTGAGACAAATGGGAGATGAGAAGTCTCAGAGCCATCTCAGCAAACACCACAGGAAGCAGCAGATCCCCTCCCCTTCTGCTTCCCAACTCCTGCCTGCAAATGTCAGCTGGTACAGCAGGGAAGCATTCAGGCAGAGAATTTTGTTTCCTTTAATGCAACAGGACACCCACATAACACTACACCAGCCAAGGCTTCTTTAGAGAAAGAAGAAAACTCATTACACCACAAGGAAAAAGTGAATAAATCCATTTTGGAGGGGGGGAACAAACAGGAAGGTGTCAGCCCAGCAGCTGAACAGGCACAAGGGCTCCCAGCTCCATACAAATTCCAGTCTCATATTGCAACAGCAGCTTCCACCATCCCCCAGTGCTTGCTCAAAATTATCATGGGCGCACAGCACAGCACACAGCTTTCCAGGAAGGAAATCAAATGGCAGGCACAGCCAGTGCTCAAACACCTCACCTAAAGCTCTAAGGCATTTATAAATATTCAGTCTTTTTACTCTCTCAAATGCAATGACTACTCATGCCAAGGGCAATAAGCACACTGCTACAGCCATAATACTTAAAGAAAGTTTAAAGTGCAAAGAAAATTTTCAAATGCTTTTTAGTGACAGCTTGAAGTCATCAGATGACAACCCCCACCTTTCCCAAGTTTTGTTCCATGACTGAATGTCTTTTTTTTTTTAAATAGAAATCCAAACAATCAATTAAGGAAAAAATAGTTTACATCAGAAAAATACCCTGAAAGAGGCAGAAATATTCTGACCCAATATTATAATAAACTCATTTGGGAAGACAAATATGAAGATTGTGAACATTTTGCTCGCCATTATCAGCAGCTAAGAGTTGTGTTTTAAATAAATATTAGTTCTGCCCCTGCAAGCAACTCCCCACTCCCCTGACATGGGAACTACCTCATTTTTACAGATCTCTTCCCAAAAAGTCACCATTCTGGTTCAAACATGCTGGAAGGATGAGGTTGGTGATGTCAGTGCTGTACCTTTACAGCCACAAAAACGTGCCAGGGAGAAAAAAGTGTTCCAGGCAATCAAGTGCACACAGTCCCTACTTGTCCTGCATGGAAACATTTCCTTCATCCCAATGAGAGGGGCAAATGTGTGCTGGGAAACAAGAGCTAATGCTGTTCCAACTCTGCCTAGAGCCATGCTAGCTAGCTCTTGTCCAGCATCAAGGCTGCAGAGGAAGATGCTCCCTGAGCTGGGAATCAAAGCTGATCATCTCTCCAAGGCTGGGCTTTAGGACTTGAGTAGCGAGCAAAGGATCAAACTTTCACTACATCTCTTCTTCCACCTCAGCCACTCCACCATCCCTCCACCAGTTTTTATTTTCCCGTGCCTCACTCTCTGATGGCAAAAGGAACTAATGCACTCAGCCACCTGAAGAAGGAAACTAAAGGAGTGTTAAGGACAGTGGGAAAATCCTGGCACAGGAAAGAGAGGGTTAAATTATGGGATTTACAGCAGCCACAAACCTGTCTGGGAGTTCTGATGTTGGTATCAGCACCACCTGAAGTTGAATAACTTAAGTTGATGCAGACACACAGATCTAAATCCAATCTGGCTCCAATGACAAAGCATCAGGTAGATGGAAGAGAAGAAACTTGTACATGAGAAATTCTATAGCAGCAGAGTTTGGAGGTGTTAGAGGAAGAGCAACATGATCGATGGCAACTCAGGTGCAACAGTAGAAAGGAGGAATCCAAGCTTACACCAAGATGTGGAGATGCGGTGGAAGTTTCACACAACCTCCCTTCCTTGCTATAAAATAAGAAACCGTCCAAAAAGGCCTGTAAAATCTAGATACTGGAGAAAACAAATAGAAACTAAGTCTGGCAAAGATGGATGTGAAAATGACTGTAACACATCCTCCCGAAACAGAAAACATAATTCTAGAAACGGACTGTTAATTTTATCCTCAGATCATTAAATATGAACAATATACTAACGTTTTTCTAGTACCAGTTTTACTCAAGCCTTGCAGTACTCACTCAACGACTAACAAAACCTGAGAACTTATGAAAGGACATAGCAAGGTTAAGATAATATAATATCTCAGTAAAAATCATTTAATGGAAGGAAGCATTATGTCTTCCCTAAGTTCCCCTGACTCCAGATGGTACTTGGAGCCAGCCCTTCCCATGGATGTACATTTAGATGGATTCACAGGCTACCTCCCCTCCAAAGATGCCTGTATGAATGGAATCTACAGGGCTGCTCCCATTCTGGGCAGCAAGACTCAGAGAACTGGTAACAACCCTGTGACTGATACACACGAACTGCAGAGAGCCACCTGCAGCTGCTGCTTCAGCACAGAATGAGGCCATTTCCCCTTCTACTCCACAGAGAGGGATG